ATTCCATATTCAAATCCCAAAATAACTCTCCACGAATAAATTAAATAATCAACAAATTTAATATCATAATTTCATGGATAATAACTCAAATTTGAAAAATATACATAACACAAGCAAGACAGAGATTAAACTCTGCTCTGATACCAAATGTAAGAATATTTATCCGATTTAATCATATATTGGTGCAGCGGAATGATCGAGATTACATACCTCCAGCCATTGTTTGTGAATGTTTGAGTTATTTGAAGAACTTGTAGAAGACAACGATGAAGGCTTCGGCACTTTCACTTTTATTCGGTCAAGATCTTCTAGGCTCTTTCCTTTCTCTATAGATGGTGTAAGATTCAACAGTTGTAAAGTGATGAGCCTAGGGACCTTTTATAACCTATGGTACCCTTTGGCAGAAAAGTACCTTTTCATATATGGTACCTTTTGGTATAAAGGTACCTTTTGATATATGGTACCTATTGGTATATGGTACCTTTTAATAGAAATGTACAATGTCTACTTATTGATTCTGTCCATCATAGAATTAATAAGTGAATAACAGTATTTGTACACTTTATAAATAGGAACATGTGGACCACATTAAAATTATCTTGCTTATACATAATACAAGATAATAGAGAAAATAAAATACTAACAGATACTACATGCTCTATTTCTGGTGAATCAGCTAAGACTGTAGAGCATATCTTTTTCACTTGTAGAAGAGCAGTTACAGTTTGGAAATTGAGTCCTCTGAGTTGGGATGGATTACATAGTTGCACAGACTCATTTAAGACTTGGACGTATCAGGTTTGTTCTCTTGACCACTCTGAAGTAGCCGAAGCTCGTATTCAACTCACAACATATATGCTTCGGTGACTTTGGAAGTCGAGGAACTTGTGGATTTTTCAAAATTCATTAATCTCGGAGCATAAACTCTCTCAGATAACTCAATCAGAAAGAATGGAATTTTTGGATGCAACATCTTTTTCTTAGCTTGTTTCTTTTTGGTTTCTCTTTTTTGTTTGAGCTGACCTCTTGCTAGGCTTTGTAGTAGTGGCGGGGGTTTGGCTCTTTTGTTCTTTTTTCCTTTGGTTTGTTGAGGCTCTAGACCGCTTGTTGCATGTCTCTCAATTTTATGTTTCTTTTGATTTGATGACTCTTGTATTCGAACTATGTTCGCTTTGAGACTAATATAGTTTCCTCTGTCGTTTTGAAAAAAAAAAANNNAAAAAAAAAAAGAAAAAGAAAAAACAATAAAAATCATAACCCAACTTAGAGAAATAAATATGCAATGAATCAAAATCAAAATAAAGTTAAACTAGAATAAGTAATTTGATAAAATTAGAACAAAAAATGATAAATAAAACTTTTTATGGTCTTCACGAGGTCTCGGGTGTCGAGCCTCCAATTGCCATCGCCTTGGCTGTTGGGCCCAAGTTTCAAACGCATGGGCCGAAATGCAAATATCCATATCTTCCCAAATTTAAATACTATGGACTGAAAATGCAAATATTCCATAGATTCCACTGAAACGACATTAGATTAAATGCTTTCAGTTTCACAGTGAACTCGAACTCTCTGTTTTTCTCAACCCTATAGCTTTACTCACCGGAATCTGAACCGTCTTTAACACTCTCCGTCGGTAAAAAGGGGTAATTATTCCGATGTCGACCGCCGCAGATGACAAGAAGCCGTCCGGCGGAGACTCATCCGTACACATTAATCTCAAAGTGAAACGCCAGGTACATCCCCTTCTTCTTGCCTGCCTGGTTGCAAGAATTTGCTTACTGGGTTGTTCTTTTTTGTTGGTTTTTTCCTGTTCGTTTTGATTTAATTTGGTGCACCTTTGTGAGTCGAATTGTGATCGATGGCCTTTGGAGGAAACCCTTTTAGGTATAGAGGCAAATCTTAATGTTTAAGTGAATGTCAGTTGTTTAATTTGTTCATTGTTGTGCTAATTTTATAAAAACCTGAAGAAAGTAATGGATGGTGAATGGCTGAGACGAATATGGCATATACCGATGCAGTTAATTCCTAATAGTGAACTACAAAGTTGACTAGGAGATACTGAATTTGTATTCTTATTGTGATGTTCTGATAAATTTGGTTGTTTCGCCGTAGCTTGTTCGATCGCGTTCTTCTACATGTTGGAAGATAATCTTGCTTGCTTGCTTGGTTTCTCTTGTGAGTGAAATTGACAATGCCCTATATGATTTGTTATATCTTGTCATGTCATAGCTTGTTCGATTGCGTTCTTCTACATGTTGGAAGATAATCTTGCTTGCTTGATTGGTTTCTCTTGTGAGTGAAATTGACAATGCCCTCTATGATTTGTTATCTTGAAACCTTTCTGGTTTTTATATCTTGTAGTGTCATTATGAATGCTAACAATCTTGTATTCTGAGTGAGGTTTGGTTAATTCCCCTACACCTACTCAATACCCCGAAATTGCTATCTTCTATCATTTGTAGTGATGCCAGTCGATGAGAAATGCTTATGTACTTTTAGTTTTGGAAGGTTTTGCTCTGTTTGTTCTTTATTTTTTTTTTAAAAAGAGCTTCTGAGACAATGTTTTGGTTAATGATTGCTATAGAGACGTCTATGTAGTCACATGTTTTATCACATGAAATTATGATATGTTTTGATTGTTTGTTGTAGGAAGGAAATGATGTGTTCTTCAGGATCAAGAGAAACACGCAACTGAAGAAGCTTATGACTGCTTACTGTGATCGTGAATCACTGAATATCAAAACCATTGTTTTTCTATTTGATGGCAGTCGCCTCCGTGAGGAGCATACTCCAGACGAGGTTTTTCCTTTCTCACCTTATTAGCACCTGTTTTAGTTATTTACTTTTTCCTGTTTTTGAAAAGTTGGGACGATTAATACCTAGTGTTGTGGTTGACAGCTGGAAATGGAGGATGGTGATGAGATAGATGCAATGCTGCACCAGATTGGAGGTTCTACCGCTTGTCAAGAATTCAAGAATATTGCTTGAAAGTGTACTGCGTTTATGTTTAATATATATTTGATTTGTTGAGAATTTCTCGAATGATGATATTCTTGATACTTGGTGACTTAGTAGGTTTTGTGGACAAATTATCATGTGAATGTTATGCTGATTGATCTTACCTTTCTCAAAGCCGCCTTTGTTAAGTTGTGGTGTTTGTCTTTGTGGAGGGTGAGATGTGATTGTAATGGTTATGGCATTGATCAGTTCGGATTTATTGGTGTGCTTTAACTGTTTCTTGGGTTTGGAAGAGAATGGATTGTATGAGGAGATTAGGCATGTTTGAGTTTGACTATGTTTGGTAGATAGATAAGCTAGATTATAGCTTATTTGATTACATTATAAGCTTTCTGTATGCGAATAAATTTCATTTGGTAGTTTATCGTAGGCTGTTTTTCAAATAAGCTCGTTGAAATTTTTATTTTAGTTAGCTTATCAGTTAATGTTACCTTACATTTTTATCATATAAGCTAGCTTTTCAGTTATAAATCATAAGCTCAAAAATTATTTATAAGCTATAAATTAGCTTATCAGTTAGTTTTACCGATTATAGTATTTATGTGCCAGCTGAATTCCTCGTTGGTAAAAAGTGGTGGGACTGGGAAGTGATTCGTGAATGTAGAAGAGTCGGTCAAATCATATTTACTCATCAGACAAGTTGACTCTTGCGTATGTCAAAGAAAAAAGAAAAAAGTCGACTCTTGCGCATTATGCACATTGTTTATAAATTATTAGATGTGAAATGTTCGTATGATACAATTTGTCCATATTTGAGTTTCTTTATCTTATGTCATATATTCAGGCGCCAAACTATTTTTAGATTAAAAAAATTAAAGTGACAATTAATAAATGAAATCGGCTTGTCCTAAAGATTCTTAACCTTTTTATATTATATTGATAAATATGGAATTTTCTTATGTATAGTTATTTTTTTATGTTCTCAGTATAACTCGCACTTTATGAAACTTCACTTTAAAAATAAACACGGATTATATGAATATATCAGGGAAAAATTCAAAAATAGTCCACAGGTATAGAGGGTGACATTTTTTGTCCAACGAAATCCAGAAAATATTAATAGTTCCGCAGCTTTTAAAAAATAATTTCTAGTGATGAAACCCAGGAGATATTCAATGATTTCGCAATAGCTAGGACTAAAGCGAAATCCATTACTGATTTTGCTCATGAATGATAATTGATACATTTTTTTTTCTCTCTTTCTTGTGTGTTTGGTATAACCCCAGAATGGAAACTACCCTATTTATAAGAAAAACGCTAAGATCCAGTTAGTTTTCCTCAAATGCTTAAAATCCACGCACATACACATATATGTGTGTGTAGTATTTCTTGAGTTTCACGTATGTGTTAATTAATTAAATATAGTATATTTAAAATGTAAATTAAATTTAATTAAATTAGATACTTTTTATACAAATATTAGTAGCTCATTTAATTTAAATTTACATAAAGTAAATATATTTTTATTTTGTATATTCATTATGGATGTAAATAAAAGGTTGTCAAAAGAAATTTAATTTGATATATAATATATGAAAAAGTGATAACAAACAAAAAAAGCTATTAAATATAAAATAAATTCATAATTTGATTTTAATAAGTGTTTTATAGTTTTAAATATCTTAATAGACATGTGTTGATGTCTAAAAATTACTAAACAATGTGTTCGAACTGTATACAAGTTTGTATACTTGGTTCGGTCTGCACGAACAGAAATTAATATGGAGTTCGGTACCGAGAGTGGACCGAGTGGTCGTTCTATCCGTGACTTATATAGTATTTAATGAGAGCATTTACTCATTTCATTTAATGTTGCCTCTTGTTCCTTTTATAAGAGATTTGAGGACTTGTTACAATCTTTTTTAGGACTTTCGTTTTCTATTTTTCTTTAAAGATATCCTTGGATATTAGTCATTCAGCATTTAATGCCTTTGTACTACTTAATCTAATATCTATCTAAGTAATGCGTTGGGATCGTTACACGTGCCGCATGCATTGAGCTCCATTAGATGAAGATCTCCGGATTTCCCACATTAAATGCGTCTGGTACGAGCGATTTTGGTAATGATTAGAGTTGATCTTGTCATTTGATCTCTTATACGGTCGCTCGTCGCCCTCATTCGATCCCTTCCTGTTCGGTTTATCCGTACGCGTCGGAGCGAGCGTTGAACTACCTCCTACTTGACTTTGACTTCACTCATTCGGTCGAGACCCCGTACAAGGGCTACCTGATTCGGGCGATACGGGTGGAGATGAAGCCGTGGGAGGGAGGCGAATTCCCAGTGACGAAACCCAGAAGATATTCAATGAATTCGCAATCGCTAGGACTAAAGCGAAATCCATTACTGATTTTGCTCATGATTGATAATTGATATGCTTTTTTTTTTCTCTCTCTCTTTCTTGTGTGTTTGGTATAATCCAAAAATGGAAACTACCCTCTTTATAAGGAAAATGCAAAAATCCAGTTCGATTTCTTCAAATGCTTAAAATCCACGCACACACACATAGTATTTCTTGAGTTTCACGTATGTGTTAATTAATTAAAGATAGTACATTTGAAATGTAAATTAAATTTAATTAAATTAAATACTTTTTATACAAATATTAGTAGCTCATTTAATTTATTAAAGTAAATGTATTTTTATTTTGTATATTCATTATGGATGTAATTAAAAGATTGTCAAAAGAAATTTAATTTGATATATAATATATGAAAAAGTGATAACAAACAAAAAAAGCTATTAAATATTAAATAAATTCATAATTTGATTTTACTAAGTATTTTATAATTGTAAATGTCTTAATAGACATGTGTTGATGTCTAAAAATGACCAAACAATGTGTTCGAACTGTACACTAGTTTGTATACTTAGTTCGGTCTACACAAACAGAAATTAATATGGAGTTCGGTACCGAGAGTGGACCGAATGGTCGTTCTATCCGTGACTTATATAGTATTTAATGAGAACATTTGCTCATTGCATTTAATGTTCCTTCTTGTTCCTTTTATAGGAGATTTGAGGACTTGTTACAATCATTTTTAGGATTTTCGTTTTCTATCTTTCTTTACAAGATATCCTTGGTTATTAGTCATTCAGCATTTAATGCCTTTGTACTACTTAATCTAACATCTATCTAAGTAATGCGCCCGGATCGTTACACTTGTCCGCATTCATTGAGCTCCATTAGATGAAGATTTTCGGATTTCCCACATTAAATGCGTCTGGTACGGACGATTTTGGTAATGATTGGAGTTGATCTTGTCATCTGATCTCTTATACAGTCGCTCGACGCACTCATTCGATCCATTCCTGTTCGGTTCATCCGTACGCGTCGAAGCGAGCGTTGAACTACCTCCTACTTGAATTTGAATTCACTCGTTCGGTCCAGACTACGTACAAAGGCCCCTTGCATCGGGCGATACGGGTGGAG